TATTCTATATATATATATATATATAATTTTTTACTTTATCTTTATTTGTAGTTTTTTCTAACATTTTATCCTCCTTTTTTATCACATACTTTTAAATTTGAAAAGTTTAGTTTATGTTGTCCATCTTTATTACAATATCACTTTAATTTGTTATAGCTCACATGGTGAGAAAATAAAAAGATTGTGGAGGAAGAACCAATAAAACTTAATTGAAAAGTAAATGAGATCAACTAAATAAATATTAGAAATTGTGGAATGAATTAAAAAGATAAGCAACTTGATTATGTTGAGATCCCACTAATAAAATAATAGATACATTCGAAGAATGGTGGAGAGATAAACTATTGATAAGTGATAATATTGTTATAATAAATTGTTCATATTTTTTAATTATTCCAATAATGTTGTTTTTAACTATAAGTTGTGCACAACACAAAAAAAGTCAAGTGAATATAGCTTACCGATAGGATCCACCCAACTATTATTGGGAAATAAATGTTAAGACTACACTTTAATGTTGGAGATAAGAAGATTATAAATTAGCCACTTTTGTTAAGCGACTGTAGCTTGGAGTAAGAAGTGCAACAACTATTATTGTGACAAAAGTTTAGGGATTTTGGTTTAATGACAAAGGTTACGAAGTTGTATATGAGTGACTATTTTCAAGCGACTATAATAAATGCATAAATTTGGGTAGTTATAATCGAGCAACAAAAGTTGAGGGATCATAGTATGGTGATAATGGTTAAGAATTTATAGATTGATGACAACTGTCAAGCAATTGTACATGGACACATAAGCAACTAAAGTAAGGTGATAGAAGTCAAGGGACCATAATATGGAGATGGCGATCAATAAGTTATAAACGGATGATTGTTATCAAGGGATTGTAGGTGGGAGCTGAAAGTTGGGCAAATATAATTGTGTAACAAAAATTGAGATTGAGGTCAAGAAGTTATAGATTAGTTATTATGGTCAAACAACTTTATATCTGAATATTACGAGTCATGTGGTTATATTTATGCAGTGATGTTTAGATGATAACAAGCTAATAGTAATGATCAAAATATGGTGGTCTAACTATAGTGATTGAGGAGCAATGCGACAATGAAAATATAACAGTTGTGGCATAATAATGAAAAAATCGATCCAATGATAATAGTAGTTTAAAGGTGATGGTGGGGATCATGATGATGATAACAATCATGAAACTATGGTCTAATAGTCATAATGGTGGGGCAGTGGTAGTCGAATGATAATGATCCAACTGTGCTAAAGGGTAGGTAAGGATATTAATGTTAGTACTGTAATAACAACTACAATTAGGTGGTGAAGGTGGCAATGATATGTAGTGATCTAATTACATCAATCGTACAAAGTCAATAATGGTGATAGTAGTATAGCAATATGGTTGTCAAATTAGGTTCATGGATTGTGTTTGACTTGACCTAAATTTTATCTGACCTGACAAAAAACTATTTTTACTTGAACTTGACTCAGCTATTAAATGATTCAGAAAGTCTAACATAAGTCAACCCACCTTTAACTTGATTAATCCTCACCTAACACACGTAACCCATTTAATATATGCATAACAATGATTCAAATTAAATTCAAATCAATTTCAAGTCAAGTTCAAGTCAATTTCAAGTCAATTTCAAGTTGTCGGGTCAATATTGTGCTGACATGTCATTTTATTAGCAATTTTAGGTTAGTAGGTCATCTCAAATTTGGCTTGAAAAAATAAAATGTGTTTAAATTTTTGAATCAGACTAAAATTTAATTGGTCAACTTGAATTAAAGAATTTTGAGTCATGTTTGAGTCAACTTTGAGTGTTGGGTTAAATTTTAACATCCCCTATTTGACAATGATGATAGTATGGCAATAATATTGTCATTGGTAGCTTGATGATGATGATCATGAGCCATAGTGATAGCTGCAAGGAGATTGTAATTCAATGACAATCCAATAATGTTAAATGGGTGAAGCTCAACATCACTTTAAGGCCTTAGAGCTGTATTGAGTTTTATCTTCTTAGCCCATATTTATCATCCTCTCATGAAGATTTATTAGTTTATATAGATTTTGATAGTGACATTTTCATAAGTATCACATGTTGAATCATTTTGAGACGTAGGGTCTCATATCATTCGTGGGTACATACTACTAGGTGAAAGACTTTATATCGTAAAAAGCATGATAGAGAGTGAGGTGAATGAGAGTTCTTTGAGGAAACCTAGGAAATATATTGATTTTAGATTTTCGATCGGTCGGAGGGAGGCAACTTCTTGGAGGTTTCATGACTTACAAGATTTTAGAGAGAGAAAAGAGCAACATGGAGATACAAAGTGGTTCTCTAGAGGGGGAGAGAGAGAGAAGGAGAATTTGGAGGGAAAAAATGCCACCTTACAATCTTTTTCCTCCCCTTTTATGCATAATGGAGAAGATTATTAAAATAAATATACTAGTACTTCTTATATTGTATGAAACATTTCCACTGTGTCTTGATGGAAGAATGTGATACTGATATTAGATATTGCCGACCAACTTTAGGAATTAACAATACGGCGACCATCCCTGATACCTAGGTGAAAGGATCAAGTCTCGAGTATCAAGCGACATCATTAATAAGGAATTGATGGATGTACTTATTAGTCATGATAGTTTTTATGTAGTCATGATGGTTTATTCTAATAGCTGCCCTTGCATTGATGGGCTAGCTTGTCCTTCGAGGGAGACGATCGTATTAGCAGATGGGCTCGATTTAACAACTTTGAGAGATGAGTTCAATTCAGCCACTTCGATAGGTGCACTTGATTCACCCATCTTGGTAAGTGGGCTTGGTTTAATCATTTTGTCAAGCAAGCTTGATTCAACCATTTCGACAGGTGGGCTTGATTCATCTACTTCGGTAGGTGAGGTTGATTCCTTAAAATAAGTTTTAGCAAAATTTCATATACCCGTATCTATACATCACATGAATTTAGAATGCCTCATGAGATACTTGGGAGTGATTCCCTTAATTATATGGTATTTCTTGATCTTTTGACTTTTAATAATATGAAAATTTTGTAATTTTATACTTGTTAAATCTATCTCCTCACTCAAATTTTGACTTACATTCTTACTAAACTCAAAGATCAAACTGACATTTTTGATGTCATTTGATTCATCTCACCAAAACATTTAATTTAATTATGAATTCATTAAAATTAAAATCTAATTATATAATTCTTAATTTTATTTTAATAATCTCTAATCCCAACATGCATTCAAATCTGCGCCCAATCAAGAGTATTTGCTTTGTGACATATAATTACTAATTTTTAGAATTTATTTTAGCGGTGTTATTTTTATTTTATCTACTAATATTTCAGGTACTGCATTCTTCTCGAAATAAATTTAATATATTTAAGGCTTGTAATAATCAAAATCTGATCAAAATATTTGACCCAATTTCCTTTAAAATGAGACTAAAAAATTTAAATTTTATTTAGTATATGATAAACTTTTATTAATATATATATATATATATATCTAAAAATAAATAGAATATTTTTAATATAAAAATTTATATTAATTAAAGCGTTATCAAATGGTTGACCTAAACTTTGTTTCCAAAAGGCAATGTAAATTGACTATTTTTCAGCTTTTAATTCAGATTGTTGTTTCTTTCATGTCAACCAAATCACACATTTTTTTGGCATTTAAATTTTATATTTATATTTATAACATCTTGGTGTCATAAAGTTATGCATGAAAAAATATATTTATTTTTTAAATATAAATAATGATAATGCCTAATGCCTAATGCCTTTTTTATGCTGTCAAAATTTAAGTGATATAAATGTGTAAATTTATGTTTTAAAAAGAGAGAATAAAGATCTAAATGATGTTAAATGATATATGATAAGACTTATCCTATTAAAAAAAGACAGTAATATAAAACATCAACATTAATATACATTAAAATTATAATAAAATAATAATATAAATAATCTAATCAATATGGATAATATAATCTATTATATATCTAAGTATGTAATTAAGATAGAAAAATCAAATATAAATAATAGAAAATAGAGAAAAACTTAATTGAGCCTGAGGTTAAGAAAAACTGAGGCGATTGACTCGGAAATAAATAATAGATTCTGTTGAGAGCTCCATTGTAAAATTCGCGCCTAAGATTTAATAGAGAAATTATGAGAACGATGAAGTCTGTTATTACATAAGATTTTATTGAAAAGGAATCAATTCTAAAGATTCATTGGTCACATAATTGTTACCTTATAGCTAGGGGCGTAAATGAGCAGGGCTAGTACGAGCTCAAATTTTTTTTTGTTTTCAACACATTTAAATTAACTTTGTTCGAAGTAGCCTCGTGCTCAAAATAATTAATGAACAATATATTTATTCGACTAGAATTAAATTGTTTTGTTCATTTTAACTATTATTTGTCTTCAAATTAGCTAAAATTATATAAGAATTAATAAAATTTAATTTAAAAATATAATAATATTATTTAATTTATTTTAAAAAAGAGTCAAATATAAATAATTAATTCAAGCTAAACATGTATAGATATTCAATTTTATATTTGTTTCGTTTTTTTAAAGAATGAATCGGACATGAACTAATTAATTTGCAGGACATTAACCGTGATCAACAATTACTTTTTTGGTCATTGAAGGGGTCTGGCACGCTGCCGGTAATCTCACCTGTTCCCAAGGCGCTCCTCTTTTACGCTTCACGAGATCGGCACCTGACATCATCAACAAATCAGTATCTGGTGATCCTCAAGAACGATACTCAATACGCATCATCCAATCATTTAAAAGAGCTAATCCAATTAATTGGCATGACCCCAGCATAATTCCCCACTTGGCTATTGGAGATCCGGCGGAACCCCACGACACGACCTCATTATTACCCCTCACGTATCCCTTCAACTCCCAACATTCAATTCCATTAAACTGAGTTAAAGCGAGTTTTACTGACTCATTTAACTCAGCATATGAGTTGTAAACCGTCTTCCAGTGGTCCAGTCCAGCGCGGGTCTCCATCGTTCACTCTGCTCCGAGCTTTTGACGTCTCCATTTCCCAACAATTTTACGGAGGGCGCGCGCACATGCACTCTCTCTCTACCCGCAGGGCTTCAATGGAGAACAGTGCGGTAGTGGCGTACAGCAATACGGGGAATGTAACGATCTAATTACGTCTCTTCTCCGGTTATTTCTTCCAATGGGAGGGGAGGACGGGAGTCGAAGAGCAATGTGGTGAGGTAGGTTAGGGTTTCTGCGTTTTGTTCTCTTCTCCCTGTTTTTGGAAAGGAATGGGAATCTGCAATGGGAAATCTTTGCCGCCACAGAACGGGAGCGGGTCCGCTTCGCCGTCTTTGAAGAGGAAGGAGGAGGACAAGGAGGTGAAGAATGAGGACGGGGAAAAGAGGGAGAAGGAGACGAAGAAAGAAGCAGCGGTGGAGGAGAAGGGCGGGAGTAAACCGTGGGCTTCACCGTTCTTTCCCTTCTACACTCCCAGCCCCGCGCATGGTTTCTTCTCGAAGAAATCACCGTGGAATGGTAGGGTTTCTGCTAGTTCGACTCCAGGCAGATTCTTCAAACCATTCCTGCCTCCGTCACCTGCCAAGCACATTAGGGCTTTGCTTGCAAGGCGGCACGGGTTGGTGAAGTCCAATGAGGATGCGATTATTGATGGGGAGGTTAGCCGTGGTTCTGCAGTGGCATTGGATAAGAATTTTGGGTTCTTGAAGGGGTTTGAGAGCAAGTATGAGCTAGGGGAGGAGGTGGGAAGGGGGCATTTCGGCTATACTTGCTGTGCTAGATCCAGGAAGGATGAGCTTAAGGGAGAGTTAGTGGCCGTTAAGATCATTCCTAAGGCCAAGGTTCAAAAACCACTCCTTTTTACATAGTCATAAGATTCTGTTTTCTCCGTTTTGCATTTTTTTACAATGTCATGTCAATATAATCCTTTGATAATTAAAAAAAAAAGAAAAAAATCGTTTGATAGTGATTTTATGGGCCATTTGCGTGCTGGTCAAAGTATTTGTAAATCACCATATCAATAAACATTCGCCATTGGTTTCTCACTTTAATGTTTTGTCACTTTTATCGTTTTCCTTCACTGTGTTTATTTTATTAATTTATATAAAATTTAACTGACCATAGCCGTTTGCTTATGGCTTTATAGTAGTTTAATCAAATTAATTAAATGGGCCTTTTCTTTTGGACAGTCCTTTTATTATGTATTATACAATGCAAAAAATAACATCTTTATACTTTGTCTTTGAACTGGTTTGAATCATTTGACCGAGGTTTTATAGAAGAGTTTCCTCTTTTGGCAGATGACTACTTCCATATCTGTAGAGGATGTAAGAAGAGAGGTGAAGATTTTGAGGGCTCTGGCAGGGCATGAAAATCTTGTCCAATTTTTTAATGCATATGAAGACAGTGAAAATGTATACATAATAATGGAGTAAGTGTTCTGTCGTAAATTTCTTAATGGTGTAAGTGGTTTGCATTCATTTTGTTGTCCAAAATTATTTGAATATGAATCTCTTTTTAGTTTTGATTTCAAGCGAGATAAGAATTCTCACTCTTCAGTTTCCATAAAAAATATTTGAGTATTTTTTTTAATGAAAAAGCATTTAAATGTTCTCGGTGAAAGTATTGTTATTCGTTGAATAAATTTCCTTTGCTTATTTCAAAACTTCAGAATTTGGTTCAGTGGATTATCCAACATCTTAGTTCAGTTGTATTGAATAATATTTTGGATGGTGTCAAATGAGAGTACGTTTCTCCCTTGTACGTTTCTCCCTTCATGTTATATTGATTTTTTCGGCAATACAATGATGCTTAGCAGCAAGTTTTGTAGAATTAAGATGTTAGGTTTAACTTTGCATCTTGTACTACATTTTATTGTAATTTCTGTTTGTTCATTATTTTAGCTTCTTAGTATGATCATTGACGGATGCCTCTTTTTGCTGAACTACTATTGTTGTTATATGTAAGGATTCTCACATTACAAATAGATGCGTGAAAAGAAGTTAGTCCATGAAACTAATATTAGGATAAAATCTTGGAATATAAATACTCTCACATGGAAATTAATGAAATTGGTAGATATTATGATTCTTAGAAAGATAAATTTCTTATGCATTCAAGAAAATAAATGAGTTGGAGAAAAAATTAAGAGGATTGATATCTTAGATTTTATACTTTGGTATTCATGTATGAGTCATACCATAAATAGTGTAGTTGTAATAATAGATAAGAGTTTGAAAGATAATATTATAAAAATTAAAAGAATTAAAAAGATAATTATAGTCCTAAAGATTATTGTTAATATTGAGATTTTTAATGTTATAAGTGCGTATGTTCCTCATATAGGTTTAGATATATATACAAAAGAAAAATTTTGGAATGACCTAAGTGAATTAATACAAATAATATCTCTTGAAAAAAAAAAATTTATTACAAAAGATTTAAATAAACATGTTGGTAGAGTGATAGAAGATTTTAGAAATATTCATTTTGACTATGGGTTTGGAGTGGTTAACAAAGAATCTAGAATCATATTAAATTTTGCTTTTAACTTATGATTGTTAATACTCTATTTAGAAAAAAGAGACGAGCATTTTATTAATTATAAAAATTGTTCTAATAAAACATAAATTTATTATTTTCTTATGATAAAAAAAGATCATCGAGAATATAAATATTATAAGGTCGTTCCAATTGAAAGTTTAAGTACTCAACGTTAATTATTAGTTTTAGATTTTTAAATTTAGAGTTGAAAGATAAAAAATATAATAAAATATTATCATAAAATTAGATGAATGCACTTAAAAGATAAATAAAAGTATCCTTACGAGCAAGCTTCAGGATTTTGTCATGATTCTCCCCATTTATTAGGATAAAAGCTTGTTGTTGTTGCTGTTATTGTAAATTTCAACATTTTAAGATTTTAAATTTTGAAATGTTCATGAAGAATAAAATAACAAATACTATTAAACAAGTGTCAAGAGTTGTACTTGGAGAATCAAAATGAAAAGTTTTAGTAAATAAAAATTTTTGGGGGTAGAATAATAGTGTGCAAGAAATGATAATATATATGCATTTTTGTTATAAAAATTGGTTTTTATGACTTAGAGAATTGAGAAAAATATTAGGTGACCTGTCAGGAGTCTAATAAACTATTTGTGATGCAAAAAATTTTTAGTGATCTTTATAATTAAATATTAAAAAACGTGAAAGATATATGTATAAATTAGCTAAACATCAAGAAAAGAAAAGTAAAGATTTAATTCAAGTAAAGTGTATTAAAGATGAGAAAATAAAAAAAAAATGATTTTCTTCGATGAGTATATTCAATATAGTTGAGTGAGATATTTTGATAAATTTTTCAATGAAGTTTTTGAAACTACGTTCGATTTTAGTGATTTATATTAATGAATTAATAATAATAGAATTTTTTGTTTTTACTTTTGCATTAGTAAAAATCAAGTTGATGAGTCTTTAAAGAAAATCAAAAGTGATAAATCAGTAGGTGCTCAATATAATTGTGGAATTATTTATAAGATTTGGGAATTTATTAATCTACTAAATTTTTTATATTATTTTAAAAACTAAAAAGATGCCTAAATGGAGGAAGATTATTTTGGTTTCTATTTTTAAAAATAAAGAGGATGCACAAGTGTGTGCAAATTATAGAAAAATTAAGTTATTGTGTCATACATTAAATTTATGGGAGAGAGTAATTGAACATAGGTTAGGATATGATACAAAAATTTCTCATAATCAGTTTGGATATATGTCGGGCAAGTCTACAATGGAAGTTATACATTTAGTTAGAGGTTTGTTGGAGAAGTATAGGGAGAGCAAGGAGGATCTGCATATGATTTTTATTGATTTAGAAAAAAAGCTTACGATAGGTTTCCAAGAGAAGTTCTTTGGAGGGTTCCAGAAAAGAAAGGTGTTAATATGACTTATATTCAAGTCATTAAAGATATGTTTATTAGAGCTATTGCTTGTGTTCAAACAGAAAGAGGATTAATCAAGCATTTTTCTATTTCAGTTGGATTACATTAGGGATCGACTTTAAGCCCATAACCTTTTGCTTTAGTTATGGATGCTCTTACTCGACATTTATGAGAGGATGTACATTTGTGTGTGCTTATGATATATTTCTTGTGAATAAGACTAGCGAAAGAATTCAAGAAAAACTTGAATTATGGAGGCCTACTTTAGACTCTAAAGTCCTTCGTTTGAATGGACCTAAAGCTGAATATATGGAATGTTATTTTAGTAGTAGTTGTTCTAGTCGCAAAGTTGTAATAATGGGTGATCAAATCATTAAAAGGAGGGGTTGTTTCGGGTATATTGTTCAAAGGGATGGTGATATAGATGAGGATGTTATTAGTAGAATTTAAGTTGGATGGTTGAAGTTGAGGAATGCATTAGGCCTCTTGTATGATAGAAAAGTACCGCTTAGACTTAAAAGGAAAATTTTATAAAATGGTGGTGAGACCTGCAATGCATTATGACCCAAAATGTTGGCTTATAAAAGAGAAGCATAAAGCTAATTTACGTGTTATTGAGATGAGAATGCTTACGTAGATAAGCGGCTTTACATTTAAAGATAAAATGCGAAGCAAATATATCTGTGAAAGTGTTGGTGTCACTCTAGTGACTGACAATATTAGAGAGAGTTGTTTTAGATGGTTTGTTCACATTAAACATCAACCATCTGATGATCCAGTTAGAAGAGTAGATGTTTTTGATTCAACTTATTTTAAGGAATGTAGAGGTAGACCTATTAAAAATTAGGCATGTTGTATAAAAAATGATCTTAATTTATTAGAATTAAATGAAAACTTGACACTCAGTATGACACAAGGGAGAAAAAGTATTCATTTTGTCAACCCCACTTAGTGAGATAAAGGCTTGTTGTTGTTGTTGTTGTATTGTTGTTGTTAAAACAATTTTTAATAATTTATATGAGTATAAAATGTTTGTTAATTATTTTGCTTTTCAGAAAATTGGTACATAGCAATTTTCATTTTATTGGGTGCACAGATATCTCTTTTATTGCTTCACGAAAATAGGAACCATGCTTGCAGATTAGTTTTCAGCTTTTTTGTCCGTGCAATAATTGACCATTTTAATTTGACATTAAAATACTACACATTTACATTAGAAATAAAGCCTTTATTTTGCACATTTAAAGATGATGAATTTATTATGCAGCCTAGTTTTTTTATATTCCTTTAAAGATTGTAATATCTTGTGCCCATCTCAGAACTTTTGTTATGTGTTACTTCTAACATATGCTTTCATTAGATTGTGATGTTATAGCTCATCTTTTTCAGATTATGTGAAGGAGGAGAGCTCTTGGATAGAATACTTTCAAGGTTTGTCTTTACAACGCTATCTAAGGTCAATTTTTTGGCTTGACTTGCTAAGCTGTAACAACTTTATCCTCATCGGTGCTGTTTGCCTTTGATAGGGGAGGTAAATATTCTGAAGAGGATGCAAAAACTGTCATGGTACAAATATTGAAGGTTGTTGCTTTTTGCCATCTTCAAGGAGTGGTTCATCGTGATCTTAAACCGGAGGTGTGTTAGAGTAATTTTGATTGATTTTCTCTTTACCTTCACATGTTGTTTATATGCATACCATTTTTTGTTTTCCTTAGTTTTTCCTATTTTATGTTCTGTGTGGTTAGTAGCATAGTTTATGGGGAATGGAGCAGTCTTAGTTAGGAAAGGCACTCAAAATATAATTGTGTTAAAACTTTTCTTTCTAGGGCACCATCTTATTTTAAAATTTTTATAATATTCATTCTTTTTTTATAATTTTTTCTGAAGAAAAATGTTCTTTTGGCTATGTAATTTTATAATGTTGAAAATGGTGACCTTAAAAGCTCACTAGGGCCTTATGTGGAATCTAAGAATGATTATATTCTTAGGTAGTAGATTAAGCATTATAATGTACCAGTGTTTCACCTTTAATGAGGAATTTATATACTTAGTTCAAGGTTTCTTGTAAGTGCAAGCCCTCATGAACCTTTGGTAATCTCCCCTTTTCATTCCTTGAGAAAAATTCAAAGCATTGCTGTAATGAGGCCATATTCCTATGACAATATTATGCTTTGTACTTAGAGGAGATGAGGGTAAACCTCATTATGATCTATAGTTCCATCATTTAGGGTCTAGATAAAACCTGTTAAGATTCATAATTCCATCATTTTTGACTTGTGCGGAGCCATAGATTCTATTGCCCAAGGCATCCCCACAGAGTGGCCATGGAAAGCTCTACCAAGGAGACCAATATCAAGGAAGATCTCAATCAACATAGGATTTTTTACTATATATGATGGATTATGTAGATCAAAGGTTTTGAGACGAGATAATGGGAACTTGTTGGACTTTGTGAAGCATGATTGATAGTTGAATCATGAGCATACTTTATTGTTGACTCAACAGTTCAGAGCTAAAGACCATATTCTTGTTGTCCGAAAGTCTAAATTATTCCGGAATTGGATTTATTGATATTTTAGATGCTCTTTTGTGTGCTTTCATCTTTTTTTAGTTTTGACACTTCTAGCAAGTCTTAGGTTAATCGTTGGAGTGATGGTAGTTAAAAGCATGGAACACTCATTTACATCTTTTTTTTGATATTTTTTAATTTATCCTGATTTTTTCTCCTATTTGTCGTATTACCTCCGAGCAATTGAGATTGGGTTAAGAGATCCAGTGTTGCCTTAAAATGTGGCATTTTGGTGGCTTTGCGAATAATATTTTTCTCTTGTAAATGAGAGGTTGATTCAACTGTGAATTGACTTAATTCCCCTTTGAAAATGCATATTTTAAGGTTTGATGGCAGCCTATATTTCAAATTAAATCTTATGGGTGATACTGTTTTAGGGCTCCTAGAAGGTATTTTGGAAGTGGAGTTACAGGTGAGTAGTTGGGGAATAGCGAGGGAGCAATAATATGCAAGGTCGAGGACATATGGAAGGGGATAAGTATTGTTCGGCAGCTGTCCTGGCCAAAAATAGCAAAGAAAACTTCAAATTTGTAACACTCGGGTGGCAAAGAGGTTCACCACCTATTACTGAGCAACATACATACACATCACTTACAAGAGAAAGAGGATACAACAACAAAAAGCAGGAAATCAAATATTACAATCTCGATAATATTCGAAACAAAGCAAAAGTCCCTCTCAAAATCGAAAAAAACAACACATAAATAGGTTCCTAATAGAAATGACCCAAATTAGAAAAAAAAGAAAAGGAAATAAGTCAAAATAGCAATAATTCCCGCACAAACTTCCACCTGGATGAAAATTGCCTATTCAGTCTTCCCCATAATCGCGATATTCTGGGCTTTTTTGCTTGAGAACTTTGCGGGATTGCAAGATCCTTACACTTTTGTGATTTCACGAATGTCTCATGTTCGGGATCGTGCGTCTCGCCATAGGGACGCTCCTACGTCATTCTCTTCGGGCAGAAGTGGCTTCTTCTTGTTCTTTTTAGGCTTCTGGAATAGATCTACTCCCATCATAATAAAGTCATCATCCTGCTGTGTCTGATACAGTCTCACTACCAAATCTAAGCTATGCTTATTTCATGCAACTCTGAAGCACATACGTCATTTGAAAGCATGCCTTGATAGAATAAATAACTATCCTTTTTTGGCATTATCACAGTTGGAACTTTGCATGGGTGAGTATTCTTGCAACCTAAGGCTCAATCCATTAAATATATAACTTGCTTCTCCATTTCTTGTACTCGGCTGGGTGCATCTGATAAACAAATCTGTTTGGAGAAATTGACCCTAGAATGAACTCTATGGCATGCTAGACCACCTTCAATGACAACCACTCAGGAGGTAAATGGTCAGTCATGATATCCGATAACTCCTTTAACAATGATTTTCCCATTTTAGGTGTTGGTACCTCAAACTCACTATCTTATAGGACAATCAATGTTAATCCTATTATGATCTCTTTCCTGGTCTCAATTTGGATCACTAGCATCTCTCCCTCGTTGGCTTGAGGTTGAAACTCCTCTTTGACATCTTCCTTTTCTCCCGTTTCATTGTCAATTTTTTCAACCGCTCCTTGCTCAGTGAAAATGATCTCCTTCCTGTTTGGGCAATCAGACGCCACGTGGCCGAAATCATGATACTTGAAACATTTATTGACGTGGATGGATTCGGGAGTGTTGGTGGGCTCCACCTTTTCTCCACAATGGATTAATTTATCTTTCGATGGGGTCAGCTTCGATGCTCCACTAGGTGTACTTTAACTGCCCGATTTGATGGCTAAACCTTGTTTGAAGGGCATTGTGGGCCCGATATGGCTATGTTATCTTTTCACATTCAAGGCTAAGATTTGAACATCATGTAATGTCAATAGAGTTGTAAGTGTACAACCTTGCCAATAAAAAATCTTAATTCTCCTAGATATCAAGCTATAGTGTTTTCCTAGGGCTCCACTAGTTCACATCCAACATAAGCTAACTTAATTGTGTACTCCTTTATTGAGAGATATTGTTGTTGTAAAAGTCTCAAGAACATATTTTGCCTGTAATATGTTGGTCGATATTTGCATTATATCTCTCATTTTATCTTAAATAAGGTAGTGATTTTATTTTTTCCATTTAACTGTTGTACATGCTTCAAATTTTCCCGCCACAAAGAAGAGTTCTTTTTGAGTTTGATGGCTGCCAACTTTACCTCTCTGTCAGGTTGAACGTTCTTTTATTCAAAGAGTCATTTAACTGTTTGGAGTTACTTAATGAATTCGTCCGGATCTAAGGATCCGCTAAAATTTAGTAAATCCTTTTTTAATCAAAGACCCCGACTTCTCCCTGATATTTCATGCCAAATTGCCCGATATTGGTTCTTCGTTGTTGGAAATTTTTTGATGGAAGGGAGTCACCTCCTCCTTTTGATCTGGAAAGTCATTATTGTGGTTATGGGTAAACTTATCAGATTGTCTTCTCAAGAAGGTGACAAATCTTTGTTGTAATTAAAGAATTTCTCGCTGCCTATCCTCCATAATATGTTCTTGGACACATTTTTTCAGATTGCCCTAGACAACATTGCATCCTTTTCTCTCTATCAACATTTCAATGAGTGTAAGGTTATAGATAAAAGGTTACTCAAAGTTTAGGATTTTGGTGGTAAGTGGTGGGGTAGATTTTTTGGTGAAGGTATAAATGTTGGATTTTGAAAATTTAAAGTTAGGGCTAGGAAATGCGGTAGGAATGTTTTGGGTATTGTGGGATTTTTCTTTTTGGAATTTTGGATTTAAGGCATGAAAGACAAATTCCTAAAATATTTAGGACTTGTCGGGCTCAGGTACTAGATGTCATAGTTCTAGGGCTTCTAGAAGGTATTTTCAAAGTGAATTTGGAGGGGAGGTGGTTGGGAAATAGCTCGGGAATAAAAATTTGTTAGGTCAACGACATTTGGAAGGGGTAAGCGTCGTTCGACGGCTGTGCCGACTGAGAAATGCAAACAGAACTCCGTATTGGCGAACTTCATGTTGCAAAGAGGTTCACCGCTGTTTCTCGAGCAAGATATAAACACAATATTGGAAAATTGAAGATGATACATCACTTAAAGTATGAATTCATAGATTACAATATCCAAAATATCCAAAATATTCAAAATAAAATAAAAGCCCATCTCAAGACAAAAACACAATATAATACTAGTTTTGTAATAGAAAATAACCCAAATTAGAAAAAAAAAAGTCAAAATAGCAAGAATTCCCTCAGAAACTTTCAACCAGACTAAAATTGCCTATTCGGTCTTCTCTATGATCGCGGTATCCAGGTTTTCCCATTCGTGAACTATGCGAAATCGCAAGATCCTATCTATTAGAAATCACCCAAATTAGGGGAAAAAAGTCAAAATAGCAAGAATTCCTGTAGAAACTTTCAACCAAACTAAAATTGCCTATTCGGTCTTCTTTGTGATTGCGATATCTAGGTTTTCCTGTTCGTGAACTATGCGGAATCATAGGATCCTATCTATTCTGCAATTGTGCAATCGTCTCGTGTTTGGGATCGTGATATCTCTTGATAGTGACGCATATGCATTTGTGGGGTTTGTTTTATTACCTTGATTTGATTTAGGGCAATTGAGCCCATGTAATTTATTTTTTTTTATTGTCTCAAAATTGTTATCGTGTTGGCATGCCAATTAGGTATTGACCCTTTTGTGAGTCTAAGACTTGATTATTTTGATTGTCACAAGAAACCGAACACTAGAATTGTTGGGTTTTTTTGGGTTGAATCATGAGTATGGTTTATGCTGCCTTGTTAACTGTGATGGGTGGATGCTGTCCATGTTTTTGGTGGCTTAATCAACTCCAGTTGCGAGAGACGACATTATTTTATTTTTGAAAGTTTTTCGTGCCAAAATTTTGTCAACTTGGCTTTAGAAGGAAGGCAAGGTATTCATTCCAAACATCACAACATTTTCTCACAAGCATTTCCTTTTTTATAGATCTTTTTTACATTGTGGTATTTTTGGGCATTTTGAATATGTTTGCTAACCATGTCATTTGATTTTGCACTTTAAACCATTCTATAAAA